AAGTGTCAATGAATAGGCAATAAATTTAAGCACAAAGAAAGTATCTCTCAAGGGAAAGTGGACTAACAGTGACATGTGCCCACCACAAACTTAAATATGTTGCCAAGTTACATTTTTAGCAATTATTTCTTGAGAATAACTCGAGATATAATGAGGATAACTTAATTGAACAAGAGTTATATGTACTGCCTTTGTTTTGGATATGATGGTGACTACATGCAGACCTTTCAACAAACAGCTATATTTCTAGCTGAAGATTGATTTGTGTAGGTATAATTTTTGCCGGTGACACAATCTGAACTGATATAGATGAATCATCTGAATAGCTATATATAAAGGTATTCATATAAGGCCATGTTTAACCTTGTATGAATGCTTCTATATATAGCCATATATAGAAGATTATCATATGTAGCCATATACAGCAACATCCATTTATGAGTATATAAGGGATTAGGTATATCATGTTGTACAAGGCCTATATATGGCTATACCAGCACTTTGGCATATCAGGTTATATAAGGTCCATATATGGGGATTCCATATAAAGCATAACATGCCCAATTCTTGATATAGCCATATACGGGGATTTTTATAGAGGTGCATATATAAGATTTTTGTAAGGGCAGCTTCTTTTTGCACCGACATCCTTTCCCACCGCAAGGCTTCTTCGGTTCTAACATTCTGTCCGCCTTTTTCTTTTTCAGACACCCACTCCCACAGTGTCTGCTCGCTCACCTTTATTATTTGTGCAGTCCTTTTAACGAGAAAAATCAAAATCATGCTGGCTCCTTGTCCGCACTCATTCCGAGGCGTTTCTAGGATTGTAAACGCTAACGTCTTCGGCTCTTTTAAACAAAGTTCAATATTGCAAGAACGGCATGAATTAGGCACTGTTACACTGAATGAAGCCTTGTTTTCCAAGAACGGCACATCACTTCTTAAAGCGTCTGCATCCCGTTTTTCACCTGCGTTTGTTTTCCCTTGTGCGATAAAGATTGATTGCTTTTTCAAGAATGCTAATAAATGAGTGAATAAATCTCTGGAATGCTTTAAACATATTCGGTGAATTTGAGCAATGGGTCATTTAATTGGTGACGTTGGCAAAAAGTAAAAAAAAATTAGACAAGTTATAGTACTGAAGCGGAGATTCGCAAAATAATTAGAACGAAAGATTTCTAGTTGGTTTAAAATTATTGGAGCAGGCACAAAAGCACTTGTAGCCACCGAACCAACTAATTACGCACCTAATGAGCCTACTAATCTGCAGTGCGCCGAGATACCGTTACCGTGCACCGTATAGCTTCCACATTGCTGCAACCAGCTTGTAAGATGGAGTATATATATATATATATATATATATATATATATATATATATATATATATATATATAGTTGTACTACCTTACTAGTATTTCAAGAAAATGATTTGATCTCTCTTTCACACTTTTTTCTCAGCCGCCGTATAATAATTTTCTCTTACTACGATGAGATTTACTCGACACTGATATATTTATGTGCTGACTGCACGACATTCACATTATTGTCCCACAGGGCTTCCACGAATAGTTTTTGAGAAGCGTCTGCAGTGAAACGTATAAGGAGCGCGCTGTTGATATCTTAGCCAGCAGGCAAGAGAGGTGCGTCCAGCATACGGCGACTCTGAAATTTCTCGCGACCACTATTTGTTCATGCGGTTTGATTTGTCAAGCGGCATTGCGGCATTACGAGATTTTCTAGCTGATTCTTCTGTAGCGCACTTTCGTGGCAGGCGTAACCAACAACTTGGCCCGGCTGCATCGCTATGCTTACATCTGCCTCCACCACACCGTTGGCCCGTTAGCTTGCTTACGGCTGTGGACGTACGCCGAGTTTTCCTATTAGGGGCGAAGTATAGCTCAAGGTATCGGGTTGTCGCCTTGTCATGCCATCGTCCACCGTTTTAAACAGGTGTTGCGGAAATCCCACTAATCACTATATTTTGCATATTAAGAGTTTTACGTCCCCCGTTACTGCCTAAAAGATTTACCTTTGGTTTGGTTGCTTTGAAATTTCATCTAAAACCAGAAAGAGAAACGTGCATCTCTGCGGTAAATTCTTTAAAACGCATACATCTATAAAGTAATGGTGCATTAGTGAGCCGGAGGTGAGTACAGTCGTACACAGTATATATTTGGCGGTGGCAAACACCGGTGCATACTGCATGCTTCGCCCCTCCCCAGGTCCATCCGCTGGAAGTAGCACTATCAGACGCCGGGACCAACGACCTCCACTACACCATTCAGTAATTTAGCTGCAATGACCCATTCGAACGGGGCCACGTCCGTCGTGCGTCAGTGCATTGCACATGCATTGCTGCCAGGTGGTTCTACACAATATCCGACACTCATGAAAAGGTAGACACACAACGCTGAGGTGCACTCCAAAATGTGAACCCATCCAAACATTATTCTATGTAGCCATTGTGGCCAGATGGCAATTGTACAGGTTGAACACTTACGGTGGGAAACAACTGCGTTTACTGAAAATAAAGGCGGTAGCTCATAAGTGGTTCTCTCACTAAATTTTTCTAAATATTTTAGTTTTTGTGCAACTATACGTTATTCACTAAATGTTCAAGTTCTACTACATTTAATGAAACAATAAACATGATTGTTATTTTTACGCCTAACCATCGTATAATCTGCTCTTTCTAGTGGTATCGTGTGCCCGTATTAACATTAATTGTTATGGTACCCAGTTGATAAGAGAAGAAAATATTTCGGCGGCGTCGGTGCCTTTCAGAATGGGGTTGATTTTGCAGATTCATTTTGGTGATTTACTTACCTCTGATTTATTTCAGCGCACAGACTAGAATACTTCAAGCGACTTTACTTAGGGCATTTATTGAACTACATTTTGTGTTTGCATTCCCTACAAGTGCGGGCAATGTTGTTCATGACATACAAACAAGGCTCCATTTTTGTTGGACAATTACAACACACGCGCAGGCTTTATACGGCAGAGCGGCATATTTTAAGCACCAGCTTGCAGCGGTTTCTTGCTGTATACTTAAAGTATGATTCAGTGTTTTAATGAGGCAATACGACTTGGCGATTTCATCGCAGTATTATAGAAAGGTTGCCTAGTTGATTAGGCTGCATAGTTAAATACATGAGTCCACGTTAGTACAAGTACAAGAACGAGAAAAAACAGGTCCTGACAGGTACTACTTGAGGTGTCTCAGAGTGCTACCCAATGTGTGTGTTGCAATGCGGAAATACCACCATCCATTATGGTTTAAACCAGGGAGGCTTAAAAAATTGCAACCCTTTCTTCGTGTCCTTGGTTTATCCTTGCAATAACAGAAAATTTCTTTTGGCAGTAATTGTCAGTCGCTCCTGATGTTTGTAACTAGTCCAATTAATAGGGAGGCAATTGCCAGGCTAATTCCAACGGCTGACGTAACGGTCCCCGAACTGCACCACGAAAGCGCGGACAGTTTATTGTTAGTCCCTTTGGTGTGCTGGATCACCGGCTGTGGTCCAAAGATCGAGGCAGAGCCAAAAGTTGTTAACAAAACCAAAAATGTATGCCATGATAAGGCCGTACAATAAACGTACAAACATGCACCCTTGGCAATTATCAAATACAATGCAATTCCCACAAGATACTCCAATTCAATACAATGGACACATACAACAACACGCACTGCAATGCTATCTCATGCATTACAAACCGAGCACACTTATGGACTAGAATGTCCGTCAAAGTACTCAGTGCAAAGTTTTTGTAACAAACCTTGAATGCTTCTCTTCAAGGAAGCACTCACTCTTAAATCCAGCACCGGTGGTCATCCCGCTGCGTCCGAGGTTCTTCTTCCAAGAAACTCTCGCATCGTCACTTGACCGCACTTCAATAACAAAACTTTTTCGCCGCTAACATATCCGCCACTCACGCGCTGCGACTGCAGAACGCGTTTTCACCTACGGGCGGTAAACAAACTCATCTCTTGCTTGCAAGACAAGCCTTTGCACGCGGACGGAAAGCTCTCATTTCCAATTGTGAATCCTTCTGCTGCTCGCTTATATGCACTAGCCACTGAGTTTCAGAAATTTTCAAGGGTTTTATTGGTGCGCCACACAGCCAAGGTTTTGGAAAGGATGGGATCTCTCTCGTAACATGGCGCGGCTCTGCAGCACCGCACCCCTTCAAGATGTTTCCTGAGTTCGCTTCGTGATAGCTGCGAGGAGAATGGTCGGCGTGGCGGCAGCGTTTTAGAGGGAGAGAAGAGGCACGCGTTGCGTCTTGATGCTTGTTTCTTCTTTACGCAGGCTTCTGTCACGTCCGTCGGCGCCTCGATTTTACCGTAGCCGTTATAAACGGAGGCACGCGCTTTCTTGAGCGCTACTTCGTCAATATTGGACCTTCAGTTTTGTCGACGTGCCTCATCATGTATGAGGCCCACGGGGCAGGTTTACACTCTCCCATTGTAGAGTAACGAATACTCCGAATTGTTAGCTACTTTTCTAAACGCATAAACTACATGGGAATAGTTATAGCGCGAGAACAGAACGATGACAAAGAGACAAGAAGGACACGAAGGACACGAGGGCTTGGTGTCCTTCGTGTCCTTCTTGTCTTTTTGTCATCGTTCTGTTCTTGTGCTATAACTATCATCATGTCATATCAACTAGCCCAAGCTGCCACACTTCCAAGCATAAACTACAATTTCGCAGCGGTAAACATGACGTACAGCCAGGGCACAGATAATGTTTCTGTCATTTTCACGCTCAAAAGAAGGTAAATCTTCTGGATACTGGGTCACGTTTTCCATGCAGATCATGTTTGTTCAAAGTTTGAACAGAAAGGCAATACTTATAAACATTTACAATGAGCGAAAATATGCCATGTTTTTCGGATGTGACGTAAACAGGTAGCACCTAAAGTTGAAGAAAAATTTACCACCTATATTAAGTTGTATGCTGGTTTTAGTCCAACTGATGATGGTTAGCACTTACTTGAAGTGATGATGATAGTTGCGGCGAAAAGAACATGTAGCCTAACTCCTTGGTCCACAGATACCCGCACACATCCGTGAAATTTCTGAAAGAGAACAAAAACAATGCAGTTGCACTATATGCCAAAAAGTTACGCACACAATAAAGGAGGTGAGCTTAGGCGTGCACCAATCTTCTTCAAACTACTATAACATGAAAACTGCATCATAACCTAAGCCAGAGGCTTTAGCGAAGACATGCCGGTGAATTTCCGGAAGATGCTTTACTTTAGCTACCTAATCGATAGGTTATACCACACACGTTTTCTTTTTACACAGAGAATTTATTCTTAATAAAACTTGTTGTTGGGCTAGTTGGTTATACATCATATACTTAGAAATTTTGGCGCAACCTCGACTCACGCAAACACTCACACAAGCACACACACTTACACCAGAGCAACACACACGACACGCAGCGCTCACTACCAACTGTTTATTGCTCCTATCTGACCTTCTTAAATACGTACATCGAAATGCGCAAAGGCACAAACTAACAGAACTGCGCCAGTAGAAAACCAACATGGCGTCACCACACCACTAGGAACAAGTAAAAAGTAAAAAAAGTAAAAAAAGTAAAAAAGGGGGGGGTTAACACGAAAAGGAGATATAATCGCTAAACCCTCGCATCAAGGAAAGATATTTCTTGTTGATGCAACACCAAAGATGGCTCGCTGACACATATATCTTTATTCTTTTCTATATAATATGCTTCTAACAGCAAACGTGCTGATAAATTTGAGCTTCTCCCAAGAATCCTTGTATCCGAAAATCGTGGTTCACACCCACATGCGGCAATATGCGACACAAGATGTGCGTACTTATCCTCGTTTTTCTTAACCTTTAGCGCATGCTCCCTGAGCCGGTCATTGAGGCATCGCTCGGTAATGCCAATGTACACGTTACCGCAGGAAAAAGGAATGGAGTATACAACTCCCATGGAACATTTTACGAAGGCATTCTCATGTTTTTTCACGCAACCGCGTCTCTTGCCATTGCAAATACGCGGACATAACTTGGCGAGCTTTTCTGGCGCAGAAAAGACCACAGCCACACCATGCCTTGCAGCAACCTTCTTAATATTATGGGAGAGCTTGTGCACGTAAGGCACGACTTGAAGCTTGGAACCCGAAGGATCCCAAGTAGCTCTATCCCTTTGTGTTCCACGTTTCATCTTCTGCAGTAGTGACTCGGCGACCGCGTTTAGGACCGACGAAGGGAAGCCCGCCGCCGTCAATCGGCTGATCTGTTCAAAAAAACTAGTACGCATGTGGTGTGGACACGACTTAATCAACGAGGATTCTAGACATAGCGAAGCAATACCTCTTTTAACTAATTTCGAGTGTGCAGAATCATACGGCAACAGCCCCTTCTTCACTCTAGGCCGGTACACCCAACAAAAGTGTTCACTACCCCACAGTAGCTTGAGGTCTAAAAACTGGAGACAAGCCTCTGTGGGTACCTCGGTAGTGAACCTAAGTCCGCGTCCATGATCTTTAAAAACACTAAGCACATGTTCACAATAAGAACGCTGCACTTCATATGATACCTCATCCGCACGCACACTCACTGAAGTACAGGCGTCTACTTGAAAATCTAAAAAGTAATTGGGGGGTGTATATGGCCCCCGCTTGTCTAAAAGAATTAAAAAATCGTCACATCTGCTAAAAAAATATCAGTAAGAACAGGGGCGACACAAGAACCTATACAGATGCCTTGTCGTTGTAGATAGGGCTTGTCGTTAAAAGTAATAAAAGTAACGTTAAGATAAAATTCTAAAAGTGCTAAAAAGTTTTCAACGGATACGCCCGCATTATTCATAAAAGAAACGTCACCATTATCTTCTATGCACTGTCGGACCGAAGTCAAAAGCTTATCATGAGGTACCGAATAAAACAGGTCTTCAACATCTACTGAGAAAGCAAAGGAAATCTGCTGGTTATTCCGTATGAAATCTGCGACATCACTAGAGCTTTTAGTGCGAAACGGGTCACTAACACTGAGTGGCTTTAGTTTGCTTAACAGGAATTTGCTAACGTTGCCCTGCCAAGAACCATTTTCACTAACAATGGTTCTGAAAGGAATGCCCACTTTGTGGGTTTTAGCGGAAAAAAAGACGTTCAAGTTAGTGCTTTTGCTACTAGCTAAGGTTCCAGCCAGCGTAGGAAGTCCTACTTCCCTACAGAACGCGGTGAATTTAGATTTGACGCGTACAGCACTTTTTTTAACAGGTAAAAAGTTCTTGTCAATGGCGCTAATCGCTTTCTCATTGTAAACACCCTGTGGCAAAATAACCAGCAGATTGTAAACACCCTGTGGAATAACCAGCAGATTTCCTTTGCTTTCTCAGTAGATGTTGAAGACCTGTTTTATTCGGTACCTCATGATAAGCTTTTGACTTCGGTCCGACAGTGCATAGAAGATAATGGTGACGTTTCTTTTATGAATAATGCGGGCGTATCCGTTGAAAACTTTTTAGCACTTTTAGAATTTTATCTTAACGTTACTTTTATTACTTTTAACGACAAGCCCTATCTACAACGACAAGGCATCTGTATAGGTTCTTGTGTCGCCCCTGTTCTTACTGATATTTTTTTAGCAGATGTAGATAGGACGTTGGATAAATTTTAAGGGGGAATAAGGTTTTGAAGATTTTTAGATATGTTGACGATTTTTTAATTCTTTTAGACAAGCGGGGGCCATATACACCCCCCAATTACTTTTTAGATTTTCAAGTAGACGCCTGTACTTCAGTGAGTGTGCGTGCGGATGAGGTATCATATGAAGTGCAGCGTTCTTATTGTGAACATGTGCTTAGTGTTTTTAAAGATCATGGACGCGGACTTAGGTTCACTACCGAGGTACCCACAGAGGCTTGTCTCCAGTTTTTAGACCTCAAGCTACTGTGGGGTAGTGAACACTTTTGTTGGGTGTACCGGCCTAGAGTGAAGAAGGGGCTGTTGCCGTATGATTCTGCACACTCGAAATTAGTTAAAAGAGGTATTGCTTCGCTATGTCTAGAATCCTCGTTGATTAAGTCGTGTCCACACCACATGCGTACTAGTTTTTTTGAACAGATCAGCCGATTGACGGCGGCGGGCTTCCCTTCGTCGGTCCTAAACGCGGTCGCCGAGTCACTACTGCAGAAGATGAAACGTGGAACACAAAGGGATAGAGCTACTTGGGATCCTTCGGGTTCCAAGCTTCAAGTCGTGCCTTACGTGCACAAGCTCTCCCATAATATTAAGAAGGTTGCTGCAAGGCATGGTGTGGCTGTGGTCTTTTCTGCGCCAGAAAAGCTCGCCAAGTTATGTCCGCGTATTTGCAATGGCAAGAGACGCGGTTGCGTGAAAAAACATGAGAATGCCTTCGTAAAATGTTCCATGGGAGTTGTATACTCCATTCCTTTTTCCTGCGGTAACGTGTACATTGGCATTACCGAGCGATGCCTCAATGACCGGCTTAGGGAGCATGCGCTAAAGGTTAAGAAAAACGAGGATAAGTACGCACATCTTGTGTCGCATATTGCCGCATGTGGGTGTGAACCACGATTTTCGGATACAAGGATTCTTGGGAGAAGCTCAAATTTATCAGCACGTTTGCTGTTAGAAGCATATTATATAGAAAAGAATAAAGATATATGTGTCAGCGAGCCATCTTTGGTGTTGCATCAACAAGAAATATCTTTCCTTGATGCGAGGGTTTAGCGATTATATCTCCTTTTCGTGTTAACCCCCCCCCTTTTTTACTTTTTTTACTTTTTTTACTTTTTACTTGTTCCTAGTGGTGTGGTGACGCCATGTTGGTTTTCTACTGGCGCAGTTCTGTTAGTTTGTGCCTTTGCGCATTTCGATGTACGTATTTAAGAAGGTCAGATAGGAGCAATAAACAGTTGGTAGTGAGCGCTGCGTGTCGTGTGTGTTGCTCTGGTGTAAGTGTGTGTGCTTGTGTGAGTGTTTGCGTGAGTCGAGGTTGCGCCAAAATTTCTAAGTATATGATAGAATTTATTCTAACGTCGAAATAAAAAAAAACTAAGGCATTATTAACCTGAGGTAGCGACAGCCATCTATCGTCTTACTATCAGACACGTGGAGATTTCAAATCTCGTCTTGAATTTACAGCAACTTTTCGTTTGGAAGGTTCGCGCTGACAGTCTGAAAAATCTACAAGAAATGAGCGCTTCTTGCTTTCTTCGATATGTATATATGACTAAAATCCAACTCTATTTTTAAAGAAGCCCACAAATGCGACTTCGCGGAGAAAAATATTTCGCATATAGAAACACCATGGAATTAAGAGTGCCGTTTCAAAGCATCGGGAGATAAAATTCACATGCAGAAAAGCTTAAAACAATAATATACACTTAAAGGGACCCTCGAATGCTTTGTCAGGTAACCGAGGAACAAATTCACTAGTAGAGTCTATTGTCTAACGAATTAAACACCGCAAAAGTTTCAAGAATCCGCCCAGTACGAGTGGCGTTACACAGATTTCTCGCACGCTGCATTGACATTCTGTTTTCCCTCTTTCGACGAAAGCACTGAAACCTAAGCAGGGAGGGATGGCATGGCCAAAGAAAATACGTTACGTGCACCACGTGACCTTGAGTGCTTTTTCTTTTTTCCCTCGAATACGCGGTTTATTTGAGTGATTGCGCGCGCACGCGTGGACAAGTCGCAATCTCCCGCGGCGATCCCTGTAACGACTGAGCGCACCATTGTCAAATCAGCCAATGGCTGATATAAGGCCTTTTACAGGTGATTTTTGGTTCTCTTTCATCATATGTTGATAGAACAGGAAGCAAAATTTAAGGGCGAAGCTCCTCAAGAAGTAGGCCTGTCTACCATTGTAGTTGTCGGTCGCAGCCACCCCTAGTACTCGGAGTACTCGGAGTGCTCACTGGGTGGTGATGTTACTGTGGCACTCACTCCACTCCTATGTGCCACAGACAGACAGACAGACAGACAGACAGACAGACAGACAGACAGACAGACAGACAGACAGACAGACAGACAGACAGACAGACAGACAGACAGACAGACAGTTA